AGCCTCTGTGAAACTGCACTTGTGAAAGATGACATTATATTGAAAAGAAATATCAATTATATAAATAATCTATAGTAGTATTCATGATAGGCATTCTTGGAAAAGTTTTGTGCAAGTAGGATTGTGGTAAATCAAATGATAAAAAATTGCTATTTAACTCAAAAAGTATAATATGTAATTAACATTGTACTAAACTTAAATTATATTTAATACAATTTATAGTTCTTATAGCTATGAATATTTTAACAGTTATACTTCTGAAATGTAATGCAATTTACAAATTCAATGAAACAGTCTAATTAGCATATATTGAACATTTATGTAACCCCACTCATATTGCAAGTGCCCTATGACCCTTCTCTTTCCCCAGTGCAACAATTGTTGCCAGTGATACTGCCTAATACTTAATTTGCTCACTTAAAACAATATATATGTATTTAGACATAAGGATACACAGACATTCACACACACACACACATACACAATCAGATAGTTTACATGTGTTTATATGTACCTGGATTCTTTCACTCCTCATATGATAATAAGATTTACTATTTTTTAAAAAATTTCTAAACATTTTAACTGAATCACTGTGAGATAGTGTAGGATAATATTGGTTTGTGCTTTCTCCCCTGCTGCAAGGAGCTTAGGTTTGTTGGATTATACCTGTCACAATGCTCCTGAAGCACACCCATTTCCTAGGTATTCATCTTTAACTTCTCTATGCTCTCTCTGCTTTTTCTATCTGTTAATCACTCATTTCCCCTAACCAGAACCTGTGACTTGTAAGGTCAGACTCCTCTAAGGACTCTGAATTTTGTATTTCTAAATGAAATATTGCTTTCCTCTTTCCCTTATGTTCTTTTCATAATTTACTTTAGAGCAATGTCCTTTTTGTATAGACCCATGAAGACAGTTAATATTATGTTTTTGTAACTTGGGAGTTACTGACTCTGAATAGTATTTACTCCTGGGCATCTGTCATATTTACTCGACGTAAGCATCAGTTTCCTGTCGTACCTAGCATTTTCAAAGCAGGGTCCTGATTAAGGGACTGGATGGACCCAGGGCAAGCTGTAAGCTACCCTGGCATTGAAATGGGACAGGCGAAGTGCCATAAAATTTATAATAAGTTTAAGAGCATGGTCATGGACAAATTCTGAAATGACCCAAGGAAAAGTGACTGGACAAGGACCCTGCAGGGATTAGGAAGGACAAATCTGGCTTGAGGACTGGGGTCTAGGATCTATAGCAAGATGTCCCCAAGAGAGTCACCTTATAAGCTTAATATATCTCTTACTCTGTCCATACAAAATGACTAGAAAGATTATTAAGAAGTAAATCTATGATGATTGTTTATGGACTAAGGAAAGGAGAAGTATGTTCTTAGATGAAATTCTGGAGCTTGAGCAGATCTCCTAGCAGGACGAACTCTTTGTCTTAGAAGAGCTTCCTCCTCAGGAAGGAAGGGCTTTCATATGTTGATTGTGCTATGTGACCTAGGTGCAGCTGCAACCTCTAAGGCTCTAGACTAAAGCAGTGAGATTGGGTGTGAGGAGGGTAGCTGGGGAAAGTAGGAGACAGGAATGGGGGGCAATGTGAGACTGGAATGGGGCACTCAGCGAGATTCAAACAGGCGTGCAGGGAGAGTGGAATAAATGGTAACTGATCACCAACCAGCCTGGCATCCATTTACTTCTTCTTTTGTCCACCACCATCAGCCATCCAGGGTGGGGTAAAAAAACGGCCTGAACACTGAACGCACGTGGAGAGAGTGCCGCACCTCTCATTTATTTTGTGATTACACAAGATGGATTTTTACAGAGCTGTTCATGATTGGATTTCAGTCATACAGTGTTCGAGAACCCATCCCTTCACCCGTGTACATTTCCCAGCACCAGTGTGCCCAGGTTCCCTCCCATCATCCCCCCATCCCCACCCCGAAGATTTACTATTTTTTTTCATTTATCTATTATTCATTCTTTTTTTGGGTGACTAAATAGTATAACATAAATTCCAAAATTGACGTCTCCATTTTATTGTTTGGGATGTATAGACTGTTTCCATTTTTAACCTCTTACAAAATTGCTCTTACATTCACAATTGCACACACAAAACTGCATGGATACATAATCAGAAATGTCTTGTTACATATCCAAATATGTATACAGAGCTGTGAGCAGAAGTTATTTCTAATATTCAGCATTTAGCAGTTGGCACATGAACCTGACTCTGTTTCCAGAAAACCATGTGTCTCAGGTGTCCCAGTTATACAAAAACTGGATCCATAAATCATCACTGGGCAGGGAGCTGCCTTGGGGAACCAGAAGAGTTAGAGTGGATTTTCGTATGCCCAAAATATTTTCTCCTGTGTTTATAGACTAATGCATTTCACTTTATAACTTCAGCATAATCTAGCCTATGTCCAGTAGAATATAAACATTTTATTTTTGTGAAACTTTTAAATAATCAAATAGGTAGTTTTCATAGCTGCAAATATTTCATTATGTTAATAGGAACTCGCAATTTATTATAGGTACCATAATGACGGGCTGGAGTGATAGCACAGCAGGTAGTGCATTTGCCTTGCATGCGGCTGACCCAGGTTCGATTCCTCCGTCCCTCTTGGAGAGCCCAGCAAGCTACCGAGAGTATCCCGCCCGCATGGCAGAGTCTGGCAAGCTCCCCATGGCATATTTGATATGCCAAAAACAGTAACAAGTCTCACAATGGAGACGTTACTGGTGCCCGCTCGAGCAAATCTATGAACAAGGGGATGACAGTGCTACAGTGTTATAGTGCTACCAAAATGACAAGTAAGGTAATGATAAGAAACAAAAGGACATCTGAATTCAAGGACATCTAGATTCATCACACGTTGGACCATATCTGTGACCCTTACTGTAATACAGCTGATAGATAAGTGCAGACACTTGTAGCTACTGACAAGAACCAAAGATTTTCTCCACTGAAAATCTGCCAAATTTTTTTCTTTTTTGTTTTTGGACCATGTTCATTGACACTCAGGTATAACTCCTGACTCTGCACTCAGAAATTATTCCTGGCAGTGTTCAGAGGACAATATGAGATGCGAGAGATCAAAGTAGGGTCAGCTGCATGTAAGACAAGTATCTTACCCACTGTATTATCTCTGCCCCCCCCCCCCAATATGCCAAAGGTCAATCTCCCCTCACCTCCATGGTTCAACCACCACAGGGTGGCATCACCAGTAGAAAAATGGGACTTTTTTCTGAGGGCTCAACCAGGCAAAACAACACTCCAAGGTGCAGGGTTAATAAAGGGGATCTTCACAAGCTTAGGAATTGCCAGAGAAGATAAAAACAGTTTTTTGCTGTTCGATTGAAGCCTGGTGCAGAGTAACAGCTGGAACTTATGAGGAAATAAGTTTTTACAGTATCCATGTAAATGAGGTCATTGGAGGGGTCTCAGGGAGATCAGCTACAATGTATAACTGTTGTAGTCTCTGAGGTTCAGTGACTTTGGGGTTAAGCTTTTGGCTATAGCCACAAAGATGGAAGGATGGCAGGATGGGAAAAGACTGGAGACATGCTGGGCCCCTTTGTATTTGTCTACCATCATATTTGGCCCTATTACCTCATAAGACTTCCAAGAGTCCACGGTGTTAGCATGAACCTCAGTAGAAAGGTGTCTTGGAAAAAAGCCTGGAAGGCTGGAGTGAATGCCCTGTTGACAACAAAGATCAGCTCAGATTCCATAGATTGTGAGAACCAACTTTCTAATCAATGGTCTCTTAGAGGACATTTATAAACTAGGGCTTTTCTGAAGAAAAGAAACAAGATTAATGTGGGTTATGATTTCAAAAAAATATATACACATACAGTTAGATGAACTACAAAAGTGACAGACCTAGAACCTTTATACTTCAAATTTGGTTCTCTGTTATCATGTTATGCACGAAATACAGGTTAATGTGAAATCTTGAAAAAGCATAAAAAAATTCAGCCAGAAATGAATTATAAGGGACTGGAACGATAATACAGCGGGAAAGGCGTTTGCCTTGTATAAAGTTGATATTTGTTCGACTCCCAGCATCCCACATGCTTCCCGGAGCACTGTCAGAAACAATTCCTGAGTGCAGACAAAGCCGTGAGCATCACCAAGTGTGGCCCCCCAAAACACAAAAACAACAACAAAGAAATAAGTTAAATACAATTGAATACTAAAAAAAAAAAAGAAATGGGTGACTAACGTTATCAAATTTAAAGCGCTGACAAACAACATAAATGACAAACATTCCACATGAAAACATCCTTAACTGCATGACACGCTTTGAAAATATCATTTCTTCACATAGCTGACAATTAAAACAAGTGTAATTTTTTTTTTTTGCATCACACCCGGCGATGCACAGGGGTTACTCCTAGCTCATGCACTCAGGAATTACTTCTGGCTGTGCTCGGGGACCATATGGGATGCTGGGAATCCAACTCGGGTGGGCTATGTGCAAGGCAAACGCCCTACCCGCTGTACTATAGCTCTAGCCCCCCCAAAGGTGTACATATTTAAGGTATACAATTTAATTATCTAAGATACGGATGCATTGTGAAATATTCACTCCCAAACCCATCTCAACTCGCAAAGCTTCCTGTAAGCGCGTGTGTATGAGTACAGCGCTCCAGCCCCTGTGAAGACACAGTTCCCACCGAGAAAGGGAGGTGTTGGGGGCAAGGGAGAAAGAGGGGACAAGGCAGCCACACAGGCGGGGCCATCGGGCGGCAGCACCACGGCCGGTCGGCAGGTGCCAGTGTCCGCCACCAAGGCTCCTTCAGGCCCCGCGAGGGAGCCGGTTCAGGGTCCACTCCCGGCCGGCTCGGCCCCACCTCTGGCGCTCCTGCAGGGCCCCGGCGCGCCGGCGCGGGGCGCTGTGGACCCGGCGCGGGAACCGCGGGGCCCAGGCGGACCCGCCTCTTCCCCTCCCCCGGCCGCCCCCACGCGCCGAGGAGCCGGACGCGGGCTGGAGACAGAGCGCTCGGGCCGCTGGGCGCCGCGGTCGCAGCCATCCAGCCGCGCGGGGCGCTGGGCCGGGGGGCGCTGGGGAGCCTGGAGCCGGGAGCCGCGACCCTGCCGGGGCCTTTGTCTGCGAGCCGGGTGGCCTCGATCGCTGCTCCCGGGGCCCGGGACCGCGCCCGCGGCGCTCGGTGACAGCTCCTTCCTCCCCGGAGGGCTCCGGAACGGCTCGTCCGCCGCCGGCCAGCCCCGCAACGCGCACCCATGCCCCCGCAGCAGGGGGACCCTGCATTCTCCGGCCACTGCGAGGCGCCGCCCGTGCCGCCGCGCCGGGAGCGCTGGGGGCGCGGGGGGCGCGGGCCTGGAGCTCCCGGGGGCCGGGGGCGCGCGGGCGGAGCCGAGGGGCGCGGCATCAAGTGCGTGCTGGTCGGCGACGGCGCGGTGGGCAAGACGAGCCTGGTGGTGAGCTACACCACCAACGGTTACCCCACCGAGTACATCCCCACCGCCTTCGACAACTTCTCGGGTGAGTGGGGCCGGGGGGCCCGGGCGTTGGCGGGGGGAGGGGGGCGGGATCACCGCCCCACTGGCGCGGTGCTGATGGACACGCCGTAGGAGGGTGAGGGGCGGGGGGATCGTATTGGATTCACTTGCAGTGTTCCACCGCCCACCCGGACCGGCAGGGCCCCGGCCCGACCCCGGCCCGAGAGCCGAGTACGGGGCGTTTTCCGCACCGCCCCGGACCAGGCAAACCCAGAGCAAAGCCGGGGACCTCAGAGGAGCGGGGAGCACTGAAGCCAGAGCTTGGGGAGGGGAAGGGGCATGGCAAAGAGAGCCGAGGCAAAGACTGCCTGCTGCAATCGAACAGGTCGAGTTCGGTGTGCCTGGTCAGTTGTCACGTAAGGAAGTTGCGACAGGTCGACTTTGCCGCCGCCGCAGCTGAGTTTCAGTGGAAAGGTGACGCGCAGGTGCCATTACCCGTGTGGCCTTCCCTGCCTGGGCCCCGGCTCTCCAGGGGCGTCTCCGCTTTAAAGAGCCGCCGACAGGGCGGCAAATGGTCGGTTTAGAGACACAGCGGTAGGGACTCCGGTGAACGGCTAAGCCTTGTATTCAAGCTGGAGGGCAAACACGTTTTATTTGTTCTGAGCTCCATCAAGCCCCTCTGCCTCTTCCCACTCTCCAATAGCTCTGGTTTCGATTCTTACTATCTTTTTCAGTATCTCTTTATGGTGCTTAAAGCTTGGAGTGGTGAGTTATTTTATCTGGTAGACGCAAAGATAAAGAATTCCTTTATTTTATTCTTTAGGTCTTTTTTTTTTTTAATTAAACCACCATGAGATAACACAGTTACAAAGTTGCTCATGACTGGGTTTCTATCATACAGTGTTCCAACACCCATCACCTAATCAGTGTACCCAGTGTACTTTCCCACCACTAATGCCCCCAGTTTCTCTCCTATCTGCACCCCTACCCCCAGTCTCTCTCTCTCTCTGTCTCTCTCTCTCCCTCCCTCTCTCTCTCTATGTGTGTGTCTCTATCTCTGTCTCTCTGTCTCTGTCTCTCTCTCCCTCCCTCCCTCTCTCTCTCTCTCTCTGTGTCTCTATCTCTGTCTCTGTCCTCTGTCTCTGTCTCTGTCTCTGTCTCTGTCTCTGTCTCTGTCTCTGTCTCTCTCTCTCCCCCTCCCTCTCCTTTTGGCCATTACAGTTTGAAATACAAGTACTGAAAGATTATCATGTATGTCCTTTTACCTCTTTAGGTTTTTTGAAAATGAAAGAAATTGTTAAAAATCTACAGAAATTAGTGTGAAACATTCTCTCTTGCTCCTTAAATGAAAATAAAAGTCACCAGGATTATTAGTTTGTTCTACCGCAAAGGTGCCTTAGATGAAAAGGTGCCGTGCTAGTCAGTTGTATTGTTTCTTTCCTTTATTTTCCTCTTTTTCCCAGCTGACTAGTAGAAACATCTATGAACGATTTGGAAAGTTGTATTGAGATGAAATTGAGCACTTAATTAAAATAAAAATCTCAAGCCAGTCCTCATACAATCTCCTCCCAAACAGCCCTGTCTGGGAAAGGTGGACCTCAGACTGCCTTTCCTTTTGAAATTCTTTTTGAGCTGACAGAGAGATAAGCAGTGTCCTCATTTACAAACAGTAATGCAGATAGCCTGAGTTGGCATATGTTCTCAAAATGAACTACAATTTTATAATTCCCCAAGGAAGCACAAATTATTGGTGGGGTTTTTCACTGATAGGAAACTGCAAAATTGGTTCTACCAGAACCCCTAATTTGCATGTCACTCGCCCCCCATTTTTTTTCAGGCTTTTTGAAACAAGTGTGACAAAAATGTAAGTGTGGAACTAGGATAAAAGCTCAGGCCCTTATAGATGCTCATATGAGCTCAGGGATTTCCTGCTGCATTCCAGGTTTTGGCGTGAATTGGTAGCTGGGGGTGGAGAGGCTGGGAGGTTGGGGATCTGGATTGTTGATGGAATACCTTGATGGGTCCTCCTTGTTTAGGCAAATCTTTCATTAGGGGACACAATATGATTGGAAAGGTTTGGAGTGATAGTATTAGCACAAGCTAAAACTATTCTAAGACACCCCTCTCTGAGAGTCATTTTGGTCTTGTTTTTAAGCTGTTGTGTCTGTGGATGGCCGGCCTGTGAGACTCCAGCTTTGTGACACTGCAGGACAGGTCAGTATCATGTTCCTCAGTGCTGGAAAGGAAACACCCTTTAGAGGTCTGCAATTCATGTCTCTGCAATTAATGAACAGGTCATTTCAAATATTCATCAAGTTGCCTCACCTCTGCCATTCCACCCATTCAGAAGCTTGCTGGGCTGGTGGAAGGCACATCTGTCATTGTCACTGTCCACCCGTTGTTCATCAATTTGCTCGAGCGGGCCCAGTCAACGTCTCTATTGTGAGACTTGTTCTTACTGTTTTTGGCATATCGAATATGCCACGGAGAGCTTGCCAGGCTTTGCTGTGCGGGCGAGATACTCTCAGTATCTTGTCAGGCTCTTCGAGAGGGGCGAAGGAATCGAACCTGGCTCAACTGGGCTTGCCGCATGCAAGGCAAACGCCCCATCACTGTGCTATCGCTATAGCCCGGAAGGGACATCTAGAGACTAATATATCAAGGTTTGACTGAGCCTTGTGTGGGTCAGAAAGGGGGACAATAAGTCAAGAACAATTATTATCGGAGTTTCTGGTTTTACTTTTTATTGTTTATTAATTATTAATGTGGGGTTGTGGCCCAGTGGTACAGCACATGCTTCCAATCTATAAGCCTTGAATTGGACTTTTGGTGTGGCAAAAAAAAAAAAAGTGTTAATCAGGAGTGATAGTACAATGATGAGGGTGTGGTGCAAAAAAAATTGAATCAGGAGCATAGTACACTGAGGAGGGTGTTTACTTTGAACACAGATGACACAGGTTTGATCCCTGGCATCCCATATGGTCCTTCAAGCCTGCCAAGTGTGATTCCTGAGCATAAGGCCAGGAGTAAGCTCTGAGCATCACCAGGTTATGGTACAAAAACTACAAAAGAAAAAAACCTCATCAGTATGTGTAAGAATGATAGCTCAAGGGACAAGAGAGCATTCTTTACATGCAGGAAGCCAGGGTTTAATCCTGCCTGGTCTCCTGAGCACCACCAGGAATCATTCTAAGCACTGAGTCAGGAATAGTCCTTAAGAACCACCAAGTGTAACCCAAACTTTTAAAAACTATATCAGGACCAGAGAATAGTAGAGGCATTTGACTTGCACACAGCCAATCCCAGTTTAGTCCCCAACACGGCTTATGATTCCCTCAAGCACAGCCTGAGTAAACCTTGAGCACTGTCAGGTGTGTGCCCACACACCCACCAAAAAACTTAAAAATTATCAATGATGATATATAATAATTTCTCAAAGTAAGTTGGCAATATCTTACAAATATTTTATTAAAGATCAATTAGGCATTTAAAAATTTTGCTGCAGAAAATAAAAAAGTAGGTAATGTTGGATTAAGTTTTCTCCACTCTAGTTTGGATCCTTAGTGTTGCCTGTGCTCTTAAAGCAGATACATGGGGGAAGCTGTGCTCAGTGGGAGGAACCAATTGATGAAGCCCAGTGGGTAAACTTCTACTTATTCTTTCTAAATTGTGAGCATTTTTGTCTTTTCTCAAGGGTCCAGTACTCAGTAAAGCACTCAGGAGGGCTGAGGAGGTTATGTAGCACTGTAGCCACTGTCCTCCCGTTGTCCATAGATTTGCTCGAGCAGGCACCAGTAATGTTTCCATTATGAGACTTGTTACTGTTTTTGGCATATCGAATATGCCACAAGTAGCTTGCCGAGCTCTGCCATGCGGGCGGGATACTCTCCGTAGCTTGATGGGTTCTCCGAGAGGGACGGAGGAATCAAACCCAGATTGACCATGTGCAAGGCTAACGCGCTACCCACTGTGCTATCAAGGAGGTTATGAGTACAATAAACATCACCCCCTCACTACCCCACATAGTCTCTGAAGTCTGAAACCTAGGCCTATAACCTGTGAGAACCCAGGTGCTTTTTTTGAAAGGGATGAAGTGACAGTACTTGCTGTTAGAGAAAGTCTTGGGCAGCTACTTTTCAGGCAGTAGCAGTGCCTACTTCCCTTTCTGAGTTGTCCTCATGGGACCACTTGCATATAAATGGACTTTTCCAGTGTTCTCAAGTAACTCGCCCAAGCCAGGGCTTTCAAGTTCAAAGTATCATTTTCCAGGTGACATAAGATTGGGCAGCCCCACTCACTGGCTAAATGCCACTTGGCAGTGAGCACAGGAGCATAGGGATTAGTCTAGCCTCTTCCCACTTTCCATTCCTATGAGATACATCAGGTATCCAGGAGGAGGGAAAAGAAACCAAACCCATATTTTATTGCCTGTAGAAAACAAACATCAAAAAACATGTGCTCTCCTAGAATGTATTCTTTCTGAATGCCCTGCTGCTATTAATAAACATATAAAGTATAAAGTGACATTGTTTTTCCTAGTATTGATCAGATTTTCGGATCTTTAAAATGAGTGTTCTGTAGCCCTTTGGGACATATTGGCAGCTCCATTGACTCATGGGTGGCAGCGGCACAGTCTGAGAATAGACAGAAGAAACACAGGAAAGCAAGTGGCACACTTACTAGGAACCCTAAGTGGAGGAGCGCCCAGCCCAACACACATCTCTGCCATCTTTGCTCTTAGGCTGCTTCTGTGTTGGAAACATGTAGTGCTAGAATTAGGAGGGCTTTGTTGTGGTTGGTGGAGTGGGTGGATGAGTTCATTGCCAGGTTCCTGAGATAGACCAAAGTCATGAGCGCACTCCTCAGAAGACTTACTCTGTAGGGAAGATAGATCTCCCCCATGTCAGAAATAATGAAGAAAACTGATGAAGTCATACAGGAGAAGGTATGTCAGCTGGTGGGCCTGAAAAAAACCACCTTGGTGCTTTTACTGGAGAAATAGGCTTTCACTAGAAAAGCTTTATTGGAATGATCATGAATTCTCAAGAAAGAATTTGACTTTAGTCTTTTCTGGCTAATGGCCAGGGAAACATGAGAATCACTTAAATATTTTCATGAAAAAGTTCATAATTTGGAAAGGAAAAGTTTTGGTGCTACGTTGGTCAGTTTTATTATATTTGAAAATCCTTCTGGTTTCCCAAAAGTATTTTCACTGAGATGGCCTGTACATCATAATTGATTGTATGGTTAATAAAGTATCCCTTATTTCACAATGAATGAGTCTGCCCTCTAAAGATGAAAAGAAAACCAACTTCAGAAACACACAATGAAAAACACACAGCTGTATTTCTTCTTCCCCCACTTTGTATTTGTTTAGCTGTCAGGAAAGCTAGTCACAGTGTAAATTTTTTTCTATCAGCCCTGGCACTAAGCAGATAAACTACCTTTCAAAAGATGACTTGAGGGGCTGGAGCAATAGCACAGCAGGTAGGGCATTTGCCTTGCACGTGGCCAACTCGGGTTCGATTTCCAGCATCCCATATGGTCCCCTGAGCACCGCTAGGGGTAATTCCTGAGTGTAGAGCCAGGAGCAACCCCTGTGCATCGCTTGGTGTGACCCCCAAAATAAAGCAAAAAAATGACTTGACACGTACCGAATTCCCTGATTTTTTTTTTTGATGTGGGGAGAGGTGGTGGGGGTGTGGGGGAGTGGGCAACCAGCAGTGCTTGAGATTATTCCTGACTCTGTACTCAAGAGTCACTCCTGGTGGTTCTCGGGGAACCATATGGAATGCCAGGGATGGAACGTAGGTTGACTGTGTGCAAGGCCCTACTTGCTGTACTATGTTTATGGCCCCTCCCTGAGTTTTAATCTGGCAGTGGCATTCCTCATCGTCTAAGCAGTCCTTGTCTGGCTTCCCAAGGCTGAAGGAACTCAAGGCACCTTCCGTTTCAAACGCCAGGAGAATGTGAGCAACAGAGGGCTGTACATGCAGTTTTCTCAGAGAAGTGAGAGCTGAAATGTGCATTTCATGGCTACACAAGTAACTAAACATAGCTGGTTATGCATTTGGGGCCTTTAGTTTGGAGTTTAGGTCAGTCTATAACATGTTAAGAGGAACTTTTCAATCAGAAGCCTTAATGAAGTGAAATTGATCAGAGACTGAGGACTTGAGAACCACACTTTGATATGAGAAGAGGTATTACTGAAATAAGAGTTGTTGACTTACCAAAGGAGCTAACATCCTTCAGCCTTTGAGCCAGAAGGCACTTGGAAAAATTCTTTTTATTGAAAAGAGGGAAAAAAAAATACATAGGGCTGGAGAGTTAGCAGGGTGCTTTCTTTGCGTGCACTGTATATGGTTCCCCTGAGGCCCACCAGGAGTGATCCTTGAGTGCAAATCCAGGAGTGCAAGCCCTGAACACTGCCAGGTGTGGCTCCCTTACCCCCAACCCCACAGAGACTGCAACCTGATGTGTAATGCCCCTAGCTACTTAACTATCCCTCCCACTCCAGAACTGAATTCTGTGGGTCTTTTTGCTATGGGTACAAATTGCTAGGACTAAGAATATACTTCTTAAGGATGTGCTGTACTTGGCCTGGTCAGACTCATATGCATGTTGCATTAATGTCTAGTCAGGCCATGAAAAGGAGTGTTTAATGTCTCCTTTGCTTCCTGAGACCATCAGCCAAATCTCACAAGATTCGGGGAGCCAGGTTTCCAAAGCGCAGTCACAAGGCCTTGCCCCTCTGCTTGCCTCTCTTGGTAATACAAACTCAGATTCCAGTGCAACACAGAGCCAAGGGTGACTGCCTTCCAAGAGTGAGGTGAAGTTGCTCCTGGAGTTGATTTTACTTCTCAATTTGGTTCTTCTTTCCTCTGAGAACAGAGGGACCATTTTATTCAGAAGTCTTTGGAGCTGACCCGTAGTCTATCTGGTTGAGTAGCTGTGTTTTTCTTTCAGCATAAAGTTGAACTTGTTAGAGATAGCCTTTACTATCTTGAGGAAGGTTTCTTCCACTCCTATTTTGTTGAGAGTTTTTATTTTATTAAATATGGATATTGAATTTTGTCAAAAGCTTCTTTGCATTGACTGAGAATATCATATGATTCTTCTTTCCTTTTACTGATGTAGTGTATTATGTTAATTGATTTCTGTATATTGAACTATCCTTGCATCCCTGGGATAAATCCCATTTGATCGTGATGTATGATTTTTTTTGATACGCTGTTGGATTCATTTGCTAAGATTTTGTTGAGGATTTTTTGCATCGATGTTAATCAAAGTGATTGGTCCAAAGTTTTCTTTTTTAGTAATGGCTCTGTCTGTTTGGGGTATCAGTGTAATGTTAGCTACATAGAAGGTGTTAGGAAGGATTTCTGATTCTTCCTGTGATGTTTTGGAAGAGCTTAAGAATCAGTGGTAGTTAAGTCTTCTCTGTAGGTTTGATAAAACTCAGCAGTAAACAAAGTACTCACAAAGATCATCAACAACAAAAACAAAAACCCCATCAAAAATGGGGATAGAAAATGAACAGGAATTTCTCTGAGGGAGACCAACAGATGACCAACAGACACATGAAAAAATGCTAACCATCACTAATTATTAGGAAAATCCAAATCAAAACAACAATGAGATACTATCTCACATCAGTAGAATGGTACATACCAAAAATAATGGGAACACTCTGTGTTGGTGGGGATGTGGTGAAAAAGAAAGGTCATCCACTGCTGGTGGGAATGTAGTCTGGATGGGGAGTTATCAGTAAACTTAAAATTGAGCCACTATATGACCCAGCAATTCCACTTTTGGATAACTACCCCAGGAGAGAAAAAAATTCACACCACTATTTATTGCAACACTCAGTACAATAACTAAGATTTGGAATCAACTTAGATGTCCAGAAACAACAGTGGGTCATACAGATGTGGTATTTTTCCACAACGGAGTATTATACAGCTGTAAGGAATGATGAAATCATGCAATTTGCTGCAAAATGGGTGGAATTAGAATATAAGCTAAGTGAAGTAAGCCAAAAGAAGAAGCACAAACACAGGATGATATCACTTAATGTGATATTTAGGGTAACTGGATGAGGAAATACAATGGTTTAAGTGGGGGGAAAACCTAGATCACCCTTGGTCCCAGAGTATAGGGAGGAGAAGGGAAGAGAGGAACAGAAGGGGAGAAGAAAGATGAGAAGCAATGGGGGTAGGGGTTAAGGGACCCAGGTATGTTGGTTAAAAGTGCCTCTCAAGATGGCAGGCTAGGCCTGGGGTGGGGTGGGGGAGGGGTAGGAGGGAGAATCTGGGAAACACTGATGAAAGGAAGTTGGTACTGGTGGTATAATTGGTGATGGAAAGTCATATGTCAAAAACCCAACTATGAATAACTTTATAATTCATGGTGCTTTAATAAAATAAAATTTTGAAAAAAAAAGACAGTTATGAAAGCTTTCAGTTAACTGGATAGGACATAAAAATAAACTGATTTGGAGACACCTATACAATGGTGACTCTTCCTGTTCTCAGCCTAACCCCCAGCCCTACCTACTGCCTGTGGTCCGGCATGTGTCTGATAAGTGAAGGGATACAGCAGGGAATTCCATAACTTGTTCACTCACTCCCAGTTTACTGTACCTTAAGATCAAATCCTTTCTCTGGTGCTTTATCTCCCTGCATTGGTGGCTTCTGGTATTGATAGAGAGAAGAAAACGGGAAAAGAACTAAGAAAAAAGGAGGGAATAAGGGAGATAGATCCAGAATAAGTAGGTATATCAAACAAGAATGAGGATTTTTAACTAGTGTTGTAAGTGACATTGAGAACAGATTCTTGTAGTTGCCAGAGAGGATGATTGAACAAAATCCTTCTGTTAGTTCTAGGTCTGCCCTTGTGTCTGGGTAGCTTTATATTCTGTGGTCTAGGGCCTCTTGGGTACATAGTGCAGAGTGGATGCAACAGGCAACGTGCATCTTGGTGATGAACAAGGTTCAGTTCTTAAAGAAAGGAGTGGCATTAATAGTTCATTGGGAGCAAGTTGGAGTCCTGGGATCAGCATGGATCTGAATTCTAGAAACTCTAAGAATGAGAGTTAAAAGAGGAAGTTTTGGTTATTCTGGGCTGAAACCAAAGTACCTTTGCTTTCTAAAATTTCATCTTTCTTCAGGGAAGTTTGCAAGGACATAATGAGTACTAATTACACGAAACACATTTGTTGGGTTTTGTGAGGCTGGGAGCACTTGAAGGACCCTTTAAGACATGAGCTTTTCCTTTCATAACTGATGGGTTTTCTCTATTTGTACCGGCTAGATGTTTCCAAGAAAAATGTTGCTGATTAGAATTGATTTAGGAATAACTTCTGGATGCTTTGATTGGTTGCAGGATGAATTTGACAAGCTCAGGCCTCTCTGCTATACCAACACGGACATCTTTCTGCTCTGCTTCAGTGTCGTGAGCCCCTCATCTTTCCAAAATGTCACTGAGAAGTGGGTGCCAGAGATTCGATGCCACTGTCCCAAAGCCCCTATAATCCTTGTTGGAACTCAGTCAGATCTTAGAGAAGATGTCAAGGTGCTCATTGAGTTGGACAAATGCAAAGAGAAACCAGTGCCTGAAGAGGCAGCAAAGCTGTGTGCAGAGGAGATTAAAGCCACATCCTACATTGAATGCTCAGCCTTGACTCAAAAAAACCTCAAAGAAGTCTTCGATGCAGCCATTGTTGCTGGCATTCAGTACTCGGACACTCAGCAGCAGCCAAAGAAGTCTAAGAGCAGGACTCCAGACAAAATGAAAAATCTCTCCAAGTCCTGGTGGAGGAAGTACTGCTGCTTTGTATGATGCTGGCAGGAAACCTAGAAATGCAACTTTTCAGATGAAACTGCTATTGGAAGCTATATTAGCTGAAGTGACTTCTTTTTACTGTGTAGAATTTGTATAGAAAATGTATATTATAATATTCCTCTTATAGTATATAGGGAGAATATATATCATAAGAGGAATTTTCAATTCCCGTTATCTTTTTTGCCCCCAATTTTCTTGTTTGAGTTTAGAATTAGGTACTTAAGCAGAGTACTTTTGAATTAAATTAAGTGTTTTTCTAACCCTGGTAATTTAGGCCCTGTACTTCTGGATTATATTACTTTTAAAATGAATAGGGCATCTCAAATCTGGGTGTCAAGAATGAAATTTTACTGTTATCATGGATGAAGAATGAAAGGTTGATGCTTGTTTGAGGACTGCTTGATCCAGTTTGTTTGATCTCAGGCCAGCTATAGTGAGGGGGACTCACAGATTTGAAGCTCTGCTCTGGCTCCTGTTTTTAAAGAACAAAGATCTTGAGAGAAAAAATAAAGAAATCCCTGACTATAAAATCTCAAACCACTCCCTTTTGTCATGTACCAGTATCTGTTAAAAATTGAAAAATAACCAACATAAACCATTCCACTAAATACTTATGGCGTGATGTATGTCAAAAGGGGAAAATTCCTGGAGTTTTTAAGTTTTTGACCCATAGTGTGGATGCTATATAAAAATCACCCAAATGCCCTGCATGGTAAAGCAGGTATTAGTTCGTGACTCTCTTGTGTCCTCTTAGGAGGGATCAGTTGAGATCACAATGTGAGATTTGCTGTCAGACATCAAATCACCCAGATCTGAAAGAGTTGCAGTTCTGGGAACCCCTGTTTGAATCATTTTTAAGCTTCCAGCTTTAAATGGTCTCATCTGCAGGTACATGAGCACTCTTGAGGTCTAACAAAGGACTTGTGGGACTCAAAATATACCCTTCCAGGACAGCCAAATGTCCTTCTTTATTTGTACTCACACAGAAACATATATACACACAGGTACACATTATGTATGCTGTGTTTGCTGATGACTAGACTTTTGAACTAGCCACTACAAATAAATAAAAATTAAAATAAAACATGGCCACAAAAACATACCTTCTTTTGAGACCATCTTAAAACAAAATATAAACGTCTTAAAACGTCTTCTAAAATGAATGACCCTTGAAATCTATTACACATTTATATTTATAGATGTCTCTTAAGGAATTGACTGTAGAGCCAGTGCTGTCTGTTAGAGGTTTGGAAAATGCAGAGTACTTGGGGTGTAGGGGTCTTCTGTATGGCCTTTGGGCAAGGAACAGAAGACCTCTTCTTCATTCGGCAGTTTTCTTCTGTGGGCCAGTCAAAAAAAACACATTTGCAAAACACCCATGTTCTTCAAGTGGCAGGTTTTTTTTTTTTTGTTTTTTTTTTTGCTAATCTTGTGTTGAAAAGTTTATCAGGAAAGTAACTTTACTCTGTGATTGGGCTGCTTCTAAGATGCTAAAGGCATCCTAACATCAGACCCACCAATGTGCCCAAAAAAGAGCCGGCCAGAGAAATATTGAGCTAGCAGGAGAAAACTTTTCTCTACAGATTCTGTGTTTTTCGTATCAGAAAAATCCAATTTTTGTATAAGAAAAAAAGAAAGGATCAGGTTATACTTTTGGTTAGGAGCTTGTTTTATTTTGGTTAAAAAATAATTGTTTAAAAATTAAGGTATCTTGGGCCTAGAGAGATAGTACAGCAGGTAGAGTGTTTGCCTTGTATGTGGCCGACCCAGCTTCAATTCCTAGTGGTTCTCTGAGCACTGCCAGGACTAGAACCAAGAGTTATCCCTGAGCATTGCTGGGTGTGGCCTAAAGACAAAACAAAACAAAATAAAGAACAACTCTAAAGATATATTGTCTATTTTTTTTTATGTTGCAATTGGAGCCCATTTCCTGAAGCAGTTAGTTACCATCTGAGTGAATAAAGTTACTTCACTGTAAAGATGTCCCTTAAAAAAAACCACTGAGATGCCTTAAAAGCTGAGTCCCTGGTTCCCATCTGAGGGGAAAGCAGTGGTGTAAGGGTAGCAAAGAGTCATTTACTGGTAGGGATTTGTAAGCTACTTTAACTAAACACGATAGTATGACTCAAATCCATTAAGCTAGAATACAAAACTTGGAAGAAGTTTTATGTATGTGACAGTGTCTGGGGATGATCTGGGTTCTGGGACAGGGCTGGGGCAGAGGGCTCTTATGGGAGAACTTAAGCATCCTCTGCCTCCAGTCCCTGATAGACAGAAGCTAGTTGTAGTCAGTTCAGTAGGTGGCCTAGTTCTCAGCACTTCAATCAGTGGTTTATTTTTAACCTGGCTGGATACAGCTTGTACAATTGGACAAGAAATTTAGAGAGCTGACATTTACATGCTATAGATTTTCATATGTTGCTGATGTTTTTAGGCTAGGAAAAGTATGATGGTACCAAAAGTTTTCCTTAAAACTTTTTTTTATGTGAAGATAAGGTAGAGATTTTTTTTTTGTTTGTTTGTTTGTTTTTGGTTTTTGGTTTTTTATGTTTTTGTTCAATATCTGTCATAAGAAATCAATTTTGCAACTTTCAGTACCTATTTCAAATACAAGATGCACATTCTAATAGGGAAATGCCTAAGGGAATTAGGGATGAACCCTTGGAAATCATACCCCCTCTATTAGTTGTTACTGACAACCTGTGACTCTTGTTGAGGGTGAAGTTCAAGGAGGGGGCCACAGAAAGTCCACATTATATTCAGGTGGAAAAACTTTAATGTTTTTATGTTTGATATATAATTTGGTCAGGGCTTTTTGTGCCACAAGCTGCAGTGCTCAGGGGTTACTCCTGGGTCTGCACTTGGGACTTACTCTTTTTTTTTTCTTTTTTTTATTAGTGAAACACCATGAGGTACAGTTATAGGCTTACAAATTTTGTGCTTGGGTTTCAGTTATACAATGATCAAGTGCCCATCCCTCCACCAGTGCCCGTCATCCATCACCACGGGTCCCAGCATCCCCCTCCCACCCCCACCCCCCCCATCCCATCCTGCCTCTGTGGCAGGGTATTCCCCCTTGTTCTAAGGTAGAGATGTTTTTTAAGTGTATATTGTTAAATAGTTGATTTATTTCAAAACTTATCTTGTTTAACTTGGCATCACAGAAGATTTTAGAAGTGTTATGATTTATAAATACCTCTTTAACTTCAACTAGGGACCAGACGAAATTAAAAAATACACTCACACCTGTCCTGTTTTCTCTTTTAAGCATGTAATTGGAAAATAGCCTTTATTGATATGGAGCAAGCTTCACAAGAACTGCCCAGAAATCCCACAAGGGGGAAAAAAAAGGGTTAGGTCTACTCCCCAGGGCCGTTTTTTTGGTTTCAGTGTCAAGGATGTTCAAAACATTGTTCTTGAAAATGCTATCAATGAGGTGATACAAAATAAAATCTGACTGAAGACTATAAGTTCTATGGGAAGATTTTGTGAGAAATGCTTCCTGGCATGACTTCAGATGCATGTGAATAATGATCACTAACCAATATGAAGCATTCATTCAATGTGAGGCTTCTAGCCTGCCACGGTCAATTTGATCTGTGTCATATTAGACCCATGTCTCAAGGTCACTGAATGCCACTGTCCCTAGCATAGGAGGGAATACTGTTGCTCAACATCTGGGCTCTAAGGAACACTTTGTGTTATGAGCTGGAGAGGCCACAGGATCAGGCAGTATCCTTGCATGTAAGCAGTACAGGCCTCTCATGAGGGCCCCATGGGAGCACGCCTTATAGTGAAGGGGTCATGATTTGCTTCTTCCTCACTGAGACCACAAGAGATGCCCCTGTGTGTGCTGTGCAAATTCTTCAGGCTCATGTGGTCTGTCTTAGCGGGCTTTCAGAAGGTAACCCTTCCTCCAGGGGCTCTAGAGGATGTAGTTGGATTTTGGTTGGGGGTGGAGGCAGGGAGCAGGGGAGGGAGAGATGGGCAAGGAGAATGGGGAAAGGTTTCCTTGCTTATCCCCTCCAGTCTCTAGCACAGAGACAGTGCTTCTAGTCATCTGGTGGAGTATCGGCCTGTTCACTACACTTTCCAGGACATGATATTCTAGTGTATCCCATACTACTCAAAGTTGTGGAAATAGCATTTGCCTCAGTCACACCAACAGATGTTGAGTAAGAGCTGTTTGAGGGTTTGTGGTTGATGAAGAGAGATCTGTGTATTTCAGGAGAAAATATCAAAACAGACATTTTACCATGATAATTAGGAAGCTGTGATAACACAGGTTGGGCTCCAACTTGGGCCGTGTGCATGTCAGGTAGACAGACACTCTAACCATTTTAGCTATCTCCCTGGTTCTTATTTTATTCCCCACCCCCACCACCATTTTTTTGTACCTTTGTTTATTGGGAAGTTTCTGAAGGTTACACATTTGTTGCAGTGCTAGCCACATTTAGTTGCGGTATGCTGGGAATTACATCTTCATCATCATACTAGGATCACAATAGTAGTGCCAGGGATTGTACTTAGGGATGTGGGACAGTGCTGAGGATTAAACTGCTTCAAACATGCAAGGCAAGACACTCTGTCCCAGAGACACATTACTGGGCTCCAAATGTCAATAAATTTCAAGGTTAGCTCCTCCGTTACTGAGAATTCTCATAAAGTTAGTTGCCCTTGTCTCCAGTCACCAGTTCCCTAACCTAACCTCCTCACCTTCAAGCCCCCAAATGATAGTATGCTTCCAAAAGCCAAGTGTTTCTATTTCACTTATAAAAAAAGAAGATAGAAAAAAAAATAGAAGAATACTCAATGACGCGATAGCACAGCGGTAGGGCGTTTGCCTTGCATGCAGCCAACATGGCCGACCCGAGTTCGATTCCTCCGCCCCTCTCGGAGAGCCCGGCAAGCTACCGAGAGTATCTCGCCCGCGCGGCAGAGCCTGGCAAGCTCCCCGTGATGCATTTGATATGCCAAACACAGTAACAACAGAGTCTCCAATGGAGACGTTACTGGGCCCGCTCAAGCAAATCGATAAACAACGGGAGGGCCTTTACCTTTTACCTTTTACTCAATGACTGAAAAGTCCCTTCCTTGCCAGTACAAGACTGTGAGTCCAATCCTTTGTATCATTTACTTACACTAAACTTGAGTCCTGCAGTTCTGCTGCCTGGGTCTTCTGGTGCCACAAAACTGATCTCTGGCACACAGACAGGTACGAATAAGCACTACAATTAAAGTGATTCCCTGTGAGCATTGTAGGCAAGTATGTGAGCTTTACCCAGACATAAGATTACTTATAAACACCTTATTGTAACAACAACAAAGAAAAGGAAAGGAGAAAGAAAAATAAAAGGTAAAGGTAAAGGCCCTCCCGTTGATCGTCGATTTGCTCGAGCGGGCCCAGTAACGTCTCCATTGGAGACTTTGTTGTTACTGTGTCTGGCATATTGAATACTCTCGGTAGCTTGCCGGGCTCTCCGAGAGGGGTGGAGGAATCGAACTCGGGTCGGCC